TTTTTTGAAAGAATGAAATATTAAACTCTGGCGCAAAATGAACTTTTGGTCTGATTACACATTGGTGTCTAGTCAACCGTTCTCTGAGATTTGTTTTCATGATAATCGAATGTAAAGAGTTTTATCTCTAAAAACTGTTTAGATTATAATGCTAGTATATGGGGGCATATAATAAGTAAAAAGAAATCGCTAGTTAATACCACTGACAAGGCTCAAAATAGATTAATAAGAAGACACTTTATAAAGACAGTCCGCAAGAGCCATCTTTGGAAAACAGTCTCGACAAGAACCATGAACGCCGTTTGTACAGTTCAGCTCACTTGGCATGTCGTTCGTGGTTTGACTAGTCGAGACTTTTTTCTAAGATGGCTCCTGCCTGTATACACGAAGTGGACTGTCTTCATAAAGTATCTTCTTATTCAACGGTCTGTACACTTACATAGTTCTCAATGCTTCGATTTGCATGTAAGGACCCTCATTATGTTACTGTGTTAGTGTGGGGCTATTTTGAGCCTTGTTAGTGGTATAAACCAGCGATTTCTCTTTACTTATTATATGCCCCCATATACTAGCATTATAATCTAAAGAGTTTTTAAAGATAAAACTCTTTACATTCGATTATCATGAAAACAAATCTCAGAGAACGGTTGAATCCTTTAAAAAGTGCCATTTTGGTATATTTTTGGTTATACATTTTGGTGTTTTTTATATATACAGCTGTCAAAGTTAACTGCATGTGTTCTTGACAAATATTACATAAAAAAGCTCTTTTAAATAAAATGTATTTAACTGAAATGTTTGTAATTCTATTATATCTGTATTTAACTAATATTTCTCTTTAGGTTTGTATATAACATCACTCTGACAGTGGGTCAATAAAAACACAAAGTAAATTTTTACATTATATATGGATCTTTACATGAAAACAGCTGCCTTTACTGTATATTTTATGAATGGAATCTCTCACAAAGGGATTATTATATTGGTGGTCTTTGGCATCAAAACATTTGGGAAAACCCCTACTTTTAGCCATCGATAAGAGTGTTGTACTTTCAGGTTAAACTTTAGTGTTCAGTTTCATTTCATTGAAACTTAAAGGTCCTCAGAATCAGAGCAAAGATAAAAAAAGTCTGCAGATTCCCTCTGGGCCCAGATTAGAACAATCGCTCTGCGTGGGACGACTGAAACCCACTGGCCAATGTATAATTGAAACAGACTGAAAAATATACAGAATATGACTCAAGGTGTTATTTTCTGAATGCAGGCTTATACTGTCTATGAGCACACAGTGAATTACAGGACAAAATAAGACAGTAGGGTGCTGTTGAGATCCAGACAGTGAGGTAAACAAACACAGTCTTGTGATGCAGCTTGATGAAAAATGTAAATGTTTGGGACAGGACAGTAGACTCAACAACATAAAATGACACCTATTTTTGTGTCTGGAGTTAAACAGGAAACAGAAGGTAGGCTGATTTGAGAGCTCTCGCCTGTCCAAATAGCACCATTAAGGTTAATGAGCCTGACACCTCCGTCACTGCTTCGAGAGCAGGGCGGAAAATATAAGCCCTGCGTGGCCGGATTTATCTAGCTGCCGACGTCACAGCAATTTAGTAAACTTGATTCTTTTTATAGAAAACCACAATAGTAGCCTCAATACGTCTACGAATAATTACAGAACAACATGTTTACAGTGTCTGATAACTTTTAATATGCCACAGGTAGCTACCTTGTCATACAGTGCTAATTTTGTGGGTTTTCACTGTGCCACTTAAGTAAATGGATTTGCTTCTAAATTTAGCAGTAACACTTTTGTCCTTTTTTGTCAACTGCAATTAATATTATAAAGCGACAGCCAGGATATGATGTCACACAGCTTCTGTTTTTATAAATAATAATTATGAATTTAGGGTTAATTATTTGGGGTTTTTAAAGTGAAATCTGGAGAGTGGAGTGGTAGATGACTGGTAGATAAATCTGATACGCATGTAATTTAATGATAATGGCAAACTAATACTCTTATATATATAATTTAAATTGAAAATGTTTGTTATGAACTAAGAAGGATATATACATTTGCAGCCCATTCTCACCCCCAAGGCGTCACCTAACTGACGCATTGGGAAGCATTTGGACATGCTTCAATATCTGACGCTTTAGGCGCCCTTTAGCGTCAGTTAGATGACGCCCTAGGATCGCGTGTACCCTACCCCCACCCCACACCTAAACCTAACCGCGTCCTCTAACTAACTGACGCTTTCCTAATAGCGTCAGTTAGATGACGCCGTAGGATCGCGTCATGTAAGTGACGCTAAAGGGCGCCTAAAACGTCAAATATTGAAGCATGGTCAAAGGTGACGCCTTGGGGTGAGAATGCGTTGACATTTGGGGAACTAACACTTCTATTGATCAGCCAAGTGGGCAAATTTATCAACTGATTCAGGAGATCTTATAATGGCCAAATATCGGCTGATGAATCGTCCTAGTGATGCATAGGTTTAGTAATAATTATAAATAACAACAACTGATAATAATAAAATAGGTTACTTAAATCTGAAAGTATTTTTACTGTTGGATACTGCAGCCAGTTGTCACTGTGACTCAGGTGTTCTGGTCTATTTCAAAGTCATAATTGGCAAGAAATTAGTAAATAGAGGAACTCTTTCCTGATGTTCAGGTCAGCGAATGTGTAAATCTTTGATATGTGTCAAAAGTTTCCACTTTCAAAAGGTCAGGACTCAAGGGAAATGTTAAACTTTCCTTCCTTAAAGTTGAAATCCAGCCTTTGAATTATTGATGAATGCTCTGTGGACACAGTGCTTTGAATTATGCACATCCACATCTCCAGTCTTTGTTCAAACACACACTAACTAGTATTAAATATAATAATGTTGCAGACCACAGTAGAAAATGCAACCAGAGTGAATGGATGAGGGCAAGTCCTTCATGGATGACCTTACTGATCTGATGTAAAAGTCATTGCACCAGACCACAAATTCTCGCTCGTTTATGATTGTCACCTTACAAGCGAGTTCATTATTGAAAGGTCATATTCTGAATGGCCATTCAAAAAAAAAAAGCACATGTCTCTTGAGTTCCTCCTGAATACCATTATTAGTTTTTACAGCTTACTGAAAATTCATCAGAACATATTTTTTACATATTTGCCATTGTTGCAGCACCTCTCTTCCCGGTCTGTCAGTAACGTTCAGGGTTGTGTTTCCCAAAAGCATCGTAAGCCTAAGTTGATCGTAGAACAATTGACACCAATGTCTTAAGATAAACTTAGGCTTACGATGCTTTTGGGAAACGTAGCCCTGTTTAGATCCCGTCTCTGTGAAGCCCCTCCTTCTGAAAACCACAATGCACTCTGATTGGTTGGCTGGATTAGTGTGTTGTTCAACCGCTTTGAACGTAATCGGAAAATGTCACGCCCCTCACCATAACTGCAACAATACTCAACAAGGTCTCGCCCTCTTTACTTGCGTATGCCTTGGGCGGAAATTATGTGAACGAGGAATTTTACGACGCGTACGTTTGCGGAAGAAAACTCAAGACTACAATCGAGGCGTAACTTTGCAGACATCTTTCATGCTCAAACAGCAACATTACACAATATAGAAAGCTGAAGTAGTAAGAAACATCTAAGATGTTAGCTTTTTTTTAAACAGCATATTGTCAAGTTGCATGTTTAATTTAGTGAGTAGCTTTGTATTTAACATCATTTTTTTTTGTGCATATTTTTATGCAGAAATAACAACAAAAAGTGTGTAATTTTCAATAAATGGAATTGTTTTTTAAAACAATTCCTGAAGACTCCCACATTCTGCTATTGGTTTATTCATCACTCATAAAATAAAAGGTCATTTCAATTGCATTGTGGGATGCAGTACCCAGTGCAGTGAGATCTTGGTGGTATAATGCATATAGTAAGTTATTAGCATATATAGTACACAGTATACCTGCTATATGATACTGAAATAGTAGGACTAATATGGTTATTGGAGAAGTCCGTCATGCGTGACCAGAGAGAAGTCTGTTGCTTCACTGGAAGATCAGTTATGACAGTTTGAATAAGATTTATGAGATAAAAATAAATAAAAAAAACTGAAACATGCACGGATAAATTGTTTTAAAAAAAACATGTAGCTGAGTTTTCATTTAATGCCAACTTTAAGTCTTTCTACTGGTTATTTGCATGCTTACAAAAATTATCTATGAGTTAATAACAATATTTTAAAAATTATCATATTAATAATAAAAATAGATCTTGTATCTTCTAATTTGTTGCCTAACCAAACCCTTTGTGTCAACCATAACTGTGCTGAAGTTGGTTTTAACGATTACACAAGTCATGAGTTAACAAAATGTAGGAAATATTTTGTAAGATTTGATTTGATCTTTTGCTCAATAACTAAACCATTCATTTGTGTTTACGTTATTGTCTGTTCAACCAGAGATTGACAGAAAATGAAAAGTGTCGTATTCCAGTCCCTTCAACTGTTAAAATCCATTAAATTTATATGTGCTAAACTCCCATTTTTACTTTAGTATTCTTCTTGTGCTAAACTAGTATTCCAGGTACAGCTGGGAACATCGGTTTAGCATTGCACTTAGCACAAAAATAGCCCAGGGTAATTTAAACACATGATTGGGTGAGTAAATATCGGATATAGCATATCCTATATAACTGGTAAGGCCAAACATCCTCCGGTTTGCATGAATCAACAGCAGTTCCTGAAAGTTCCGCAAAGGGAACCACACCTTCAGCTCTGCAGACAGCAGCTGTCATTGATGGCTTCACGTACAACACTCGCCACGGAGGCGTGAGAGGGGTGTGACAAATCGCCGCAGCTCATTGGCTGGCGCATTTTAACGAACAGCACTCCCGGCCAATCAGAGATGCGTGCCACGCTTCGAACGCATGACGCCATGCGCAGAGGCGGAGCGTGAGACGCTGCGTCTTCGGACGTGTGAAGTATATTGAGTTAATTACATACCCAGCCACCGTTCTCCTGGATCCAGGCGTGCAGCGGCCCGTTCAGATATTCCGTCATCCATCCCGCAATGTTATCCACCTGCGCCGTCATCTCCTTGTTCACGCATTCGACACAAACAGTCCCTCCAAACTCGAAAAAAGCGATGATTCTGCCCCAGTTCACGCCGTCCCTGAACAGCTCGTCTATGACCGCGGTGAAGCGCTGATGCGCCGTGATGGACGTGAGATGCAGCTGTTTGGACATCTCCGCAAAGTCCGACTGATATAACCGTTCCAGTTCATCCCCAGCCTCCCGCAGCACCTTATGAAGAGCGCTGAACGGGTCGTGACGCGGGCTGGGAGAGACGCCGCTGTCCTCCTCCTGCCTCCCCATCATCAGTCCATTCGAGACACTGTCATCGTGTCCATTCACTTCCCACACGAATCCCTTCTTCCAGAGCTTATGGTGGATGTACTTCGCCACTATGCTGCGGTTATCATACACGACCTCCTGTGCCATATCGACCTGTATATATAGCTAAACAACCTCAGAATCAACGTGAGCTAATTAATCCAAGCGCATCTTCATCATCTTCTTCATAACACCAATGCAATGCAGCAACTGATTTTTAGATAACCGCAAATCCTTCAAACGGCGAACTTACTGCATGTTGCCTCACTTGAGACTGCAAGTTGCAGCACTCGCGCAAATCCTCGTCCAGTGCTCTCGCTGTTGAAAAACGCCCACTTTCTGTTCCCAGCAGAAAATTCCAAGCATGTATGAGAGGATTTAAGCATCTTCCTTCATATCAGATGACACAAACATGCCGTATAAGCACGGGTGAGAGAGTCTCTGGTGTTTTGAGTGGGAATTGCGTGCAGTAAAGTCATGGTTTATTCGTGTAACAGAGTCCAGAGCTGCGGGAGACGGAAGAGGCTGGTCGCCGAGTGTTCACGCGCACTTGTGAGTTTCTTCTTTCGCGGAGCGACTAGTGTGAAGAAAGACTTTCTCAGTGGTGTCGGCTGTCGAAATGAGTCTTTTCGCGAAAGATAAACGGGTAACAGTTGTGTCTCTCTGTATAAGTTGAGCGTTTGGAGGAGTCTGCTGTGCGCAGTCGCTCCATTTGCAGTCAGACTCGACCCTGCCCCCTTTATTACAGAGGTGTTTCCTGTGCGACGTCACTCATTCACACTCGTGTGCCTCCGTTGAGCATTTAAAAATTCTGCAGCATAATTCATATTAATCATAGTTTTTAACATTATTGAACAACATTTATTTATTGATAATATTGTTAATATAAAAATTATTATAATATCATTATATGCAAAAGTAGATAGTTCACCTAAAAATGAAAACTCACCCACGTCGTTACAAACCCGTAAGACTTCTGTTCATCTTCAGAACACAAATTAATATATTTTTTGATGAAATCTGAGAGCTTTCTGTCCCTCCACTGACAGCTACGCAACTACCACTTTGATGCTTCAGATCTTAAAATTTCATGAGCGTTTTGGTCCAAAATTTCTGAAGAGACTCGAACTCTTTATGATGAACAGACTGATTTTTAGCTTTTATTCATATATAAACATTATTCAGCGAACATAAACAGAAGCTCGGCCGCACCTGCTTAATGTGAGAATGAACCTCATTTGTTCTTGCACGTCAAGAGAACATGCTGCTTGAGCTTATGTTTATGACTTATGTGCGAGTTTATGAATGTTTATGTGAAGTGTCAAAAGCGAGGGAAAGAAAGGTCTCAGATTTCATTAAAAATATCTTTGTTTTCTAAAGATGAAAGTCCTACAGGTTTTGAAACAACATGATGGTGAGTAATCAATGACATCATTTTTGGGTGATCTAACCCTGGTGAGTTCATATTTAATCATCAATTTATTCTGTGAACTACGGGCAAGCAGATTCTTGCTTTCACTGAAGCACAAGATGTTCTTTGGATTGTTTAAATCACGCTGGAAAACATGAGATCGTATGAAGGTTATTTATTTTATTTTTTTAGGTATGAAGGGGATGGGGGTTGGGTGAGTGTTTTATTTACTTACTTCAAATAAATTTAATTTATAAAGCACTTTTACACACAGTGCAAGACTGAGCAAAGTGCTGTACAATGAATGAATAAAAGAAAATACTGAACCCTGCCAGGGGCTAACAAATGTAAAATAGCCTATGGCTAACTCTGGTACAATGCATCAAATGGCAACATGTCTGTTAGAAATTGTAGCCTACATGGTCCCTAATAAATAAAAAAATAAAATAAATAAAATAAAACATGTTTGTGTATATTATATAGTATGGCCACGCCCCCAAATATTTGGTATCACAGAACAGTCTAGAGTGTTGTTACCTTAATACACACAGAGAATGTATGCTTCCAGGGACCAAGAAAAACATTTATGTGGATATTAAATTGAGTCTACTCTACAAGCAGAGTAGTTAATATATATAATTTTAATAAATATTATAAATAATAATAAATACTCTATTAAAAATGTAGGAAAATATCATTTATTCTTTGGAATTTTCAAATGTTATTTATAATTCTCATGTTCTAAATACCATCCTAACATTTATTTATTTATTTGGGTATAGAAGAAATAACAATTCTATTGCAAATAGAATATCTAGGTAATTCAATTTTTTACCTGGTGGTTTGGATGAGCAGAAATGGAAATTTGTACAAGCAGAGCAGAAATATGTCCTCAGCCTTGCCTCAAAATTGGAACTTATATGGACAGTGTGAGGCCTTTGATCTTTCAGCACCCCACGGTGTCAAACCTGCTTCGAATAAAGGTGAACCAACTCAAGCTAAAACCTATGAATTACTACAGAACAAAATGACTACATCATACATATGACCCCTGCTAGCAGTCCAGGCTTCCGAGACAGAACATTGTGTGTTGCTCTTTAAAATGTTCAGGTTTTTGCTTGCTTTCTACACCTGTCAGCCTTGACTGGGTTATTGAGGGCTAAGTTAGGCCTCTGGAGTTGGCTATTTCAGACTAGCGATGAAGTGCTTCAAAGTAGGAATCCAAAGTAAAGGAACAGGTTCAGGCGATTCATACTGATGTTACTGACAGAGGTATGTCTCCTAATTCTGAACCTCCATTCCTGTCTATAATGAAAACAAATTGTAAATCACTAACCCCTGGTTCCACAGACAAGGCTTAAGCCTAGCCCCAGAATAAAATGCATGTTTGAGTTGTCTTAGCTGAAAAACTTGCACTGACCAATCTTAATTTATCAGCGCCATTGTTTTGTCTCAAGATGCACACCAGCATTTTTTTTTCTAAGACGCGTTTTTAAAAGGCTAATCCTAGCTTAATCTAAGCCTTGTCTGTAAAACCGGGCCTATAAATTAAATGGTAAAATGTTACACAGTGCATTTGTTTTGAGCAACAAGTTTTCCAGTCAGTGATTGGGATTATTTCAAGTTATTTTAATAGACACTGCAAACAAAAAGATGCATTTCTAGCCAATCAAATATTTGAAACATGAATCTGTAATATTTTTTTAAATATTTCAAGGGATTCCATCATTAAGATTTTACAAGTTCAAAAGGTTCTGACACAAAATTACCTTTCAAAAGTTATTTATTTCATTATGTAAGAAAATAAGACAAAGCAACAACATCCTCTTTTTCTCCCATGGCACACAAGGTGAAATATATGCAAGTTTGGCAACAAATGAATAAGGAAAAAAAAAACAGATACAAGCAAAACATATCCAAGTTGGTCTTGGTCTTTTAAAAGTACCTCAAACTATATATCTTTTTCTCAGAAATATACCTCAACTTCAGTCAATAAAAGAGGGAACTATAGCAGAAGTATCTTCTTATGTGTTTAAATGAAGTGTGAGCACAGGCTTGATTTGCATAGCTTTAAGGAGATCAAAACATTTTCTCTACTGTTAGCTTCTTAATGACTAAACAAATGACTACGTCCATGTGTTGCGTTACGGAAGAGGGCACGGCCGAATCGGAAGTCCGGCGCACATCGGCACCTGACTTATAGCTACTGTGTGCTCAACGACGTGCCTTGAGCCAATATCAAATGAGAACATCGTCGCTTTGACTCATGCATTCTCACTTTCATATTTTGGGTCATTTTGTAAAAATATCCAATGAACAAACAAACAAAAACAATGTCCTTTTCCATATTGAAACAAATCTATGTAAACCATACACAATCTATGCCATAGTTGGATGTGGAGTGTATAAGAGTGTCCACTCTTATAGCTTTTATAGTGGTCTGTGTTTGGATCTCTTAAGGCCTGGAATGGGTCTCCACGACTGCATTGGTCAATTGTTTCTAGCATACCTGCAAACTCCGGACCGGCGAATAAATTCTCTTCTAAAAATTACTACATCTTATGCTAATAGAAAAGCAGAAATACAGCGGTTACCCCAGTAGCTACGACTCTATTAGCGTGAACAGGTAGGATGAAAAGAAAGGTGATGAGTTTGCAGGTATGTTCTAGTGAAAACAAAGCAGCATAAAAAAATCTCAAAGAAAGAGATGTATTCAATGGAAGTGCTACTTCACCCAAAAATGAAAATTCTGACATCATTTATTCACCCGAATTCCAAAACCATAAGATTTTCTTTTTTTTCTGTAGAACCAAAAAAAAGAGGAGTTTAGTAGTATTTTTATTTTTGTTGTCCATATGCACACTATACTATGGAAGCTTGTTTCCGCCACTGAATTAACAAAATAATAATAATTGCGACATTTTATCTCACAATTGCGAGATATGAAGTCAGAATTAAGTCAAGTCAAGTCACATTTATTTATATAGCGCTTTTCACAATACAGATTGTATCAAAATTGCATCAGAATTGTGAGAAATAAAGTCGCAATTGTGAGATAGAAAGTCGCAATTCTGATAAATAAAGTCGCAATTCTGAGAAATAAAGTCACAATTGTGAGAAATAAAGTCGCAATTCTGAGAAATAAAGTCGCAATTGCAAGATATAAAGTCGCAATTCTGGGAAATAGTCGCAATTGCGAGATATAGTCACAATTCTGAGAAATAAAAGTCGCAATTCTGAGAAATAAAGTCGCAATTGTGAGATATAAAGTCGCAATTCTGAGAAATAAAGTCACAATTGCAAAAAATAGTTGCAATTCTGAGAAATAAAGTCGCAATTCTGAGAAATAAAGTCGCAATTGCGAGATATAAACTCGCAATTCTGAGAAATAGTCACAATTGCGAGATAGCCAATTCTGAGAAATAAAGTCGCAATTGCGAGATACAAAGTCGCAATTCTGAGAAATAGTCGCAATTGCGAGATATAGTCACAATTCTGAGAAATAGTCGCAATTACGAGATATAAAGTCACAATTCTGAGAAACAGTCGCAATTGCGAGATATAATCAATTCTGAGAAATAAAGTCGCAATTGCAAGATATAAAGTCGCAATTCTGAGAAATAGACGCAATTGCGAGATATAAACTTTATATATTTATACTTTATATGACTCTTTTCTCACAATTGCGAGTTTACATCATGCAATTCCAACTTTATAACACATGATTGCGAGTTTACATCTCGAAATTTCGACATCTTTTCTCAGAATTGTGAGATATAAACTCGCAATTGCGACTTATCAGGCCAAATCTAAGGGAAAAAAAGACTAACTTTTTTCCCCTTCAGAATAGTTTATATCTCACAATTCTGACTTTACAACACGCAATTTCGACTTTATATCATGCGTTTCTGACTTAACACGCAATTGCAACATTATATCACACAATTCTGACTTTATAACACGCAATTGCGACTTTATATCAATGATATCATTATTATATCATCTCGCAATTCTGAGAAATTGTAAGATGTAAACTCACAATTGTGAGAAAAAAAGTCCGAATTGTGAGATAAAGTGTCGCAATTTCCTTTTTTATTTTTCATTAAGTGGCGGAAACAAGCTTCCATAATATTATTCACAGAAAAATTCCCCCAATGCCATAGCTCTTAAAACTCACACGTCTCCACTCTCCATGTACAACAGTTGTATCAATATCAGGTCAATAAAGAATTTCTGGCTATTTCTCACACAAATCAGACAGACCCTTTGGCTCACTGTATGGAAAGGAGCAGCATGCGCATTCCACTAAACTTCTCCTTTTGTGTTTTACAGATGAGTCATGCAGGTTGAGCAACATGAGGGTG